GAGAACGTGTAAATTCCCCACAGAAACGTCGACTGGCTTGATAAGGGCTAGAACCAGTGACATTCTTGCTGTGAGGCAACAGTGCTAACCACTGGGCCACCCATCTAGGAAAGGAGGAGGAGTAGGGGTGTAAGGGGGATTTCTTCAAAATGAATATGACTGTGATATGGAATTTAAGGTATTGATAGTGGCCATAAATTGGTTAATGCGGGACCAGCCGCAAGCAATCATAAGGATGTGATCCTCTAAAAACTAGCTTATAAACTTCAGTTTGTGCAGATACAATGGCCCAAAATTAGATGTAAAGGTCTTTGCACACTGAAGTCTGACATATTCGTATATGCTTTTTTTTGTATTCATATGTGTAAAAATTTGTCACGTAAACAAACCTTGCACACTGAGTCCGATGTGTATAAATGAATCCATTCTGAAAAAACACACAGTATTTCGGAGTCAGTTCTCAAAGTGCTTTTTAGTATGCAAAAAAAGAGAAAATCAAACCCCTTTGTTCTGTTGATTTGTCCTATCTTGTCAGACTGTCCTACCTCCCATTCAAAAAGTAGGTAATACATTTTGATCATGTAATACAGTGTGCTACCCATCAGATTTTGCTACAAGCGTACATTTTAAAGTGGATTAGTGTGATATGAAGCTATAATAACGCCCTAACCTATCTAATCCCTAATCCCAAACTCAGAAGCATTCAAATACAGTGTTGGTAGCATAATCTGATGGGTAAGAAAAAATGTCAGGACACTGGCTCAAATTTTTTGTTTTATGATGGACGAAAGTTTCAGAGGCAGTGAGTCAATACGATATTATATTAATATTATATTATACTATAATAATAATATTATATATTAAATATTGTAAACAATTAATGCTCAAAAAACATGCTTCTTCATGCTTATGTTTTGTTTTGATACATTTTCTGTATGGGAAGGGAGAAATCTAAACATAAAATACAGGAGAGGAGACATCTAAACAATCTAGCTGAGGGGAGAAATCTAAACACATCTTTTTTTATTAAATAGAGTACAACCCCCAGTGCTGGCAATCACTCAAACACTCTCCCATTCAGAATTTCAGTGCTAACCACTTGTTACCCCTGTCTATTTCTATTTTCTATTCCTGCTAACCCTGTAAACTGCTATTACTTGCACATTATTATAATATAGTAATTAATAATGCTTAGTGTTAAACTCTAACAAGGGCACTGTAAAATACATTTCACCTTAAATTCACTTGGTCTTCAGTTTTATGGTCCAAAAGCCAGAAAACAAAATAAGCGTGTGTAGATGTGTAAATTTACATGTGCAAGTCTGTGCTGCAGATGGTATCAGCAAATCCTCTCAGCTGAAATGGAGGATCACAGAAATCAAGCAGAGATTCATGATGTTGTTTTAAATAGGAAAATGACTCAACCTTGATCCGACTTCCTTCTTCCCGGTTGGGCCTGTATTTATTCCCAAATTACGTGAACTCGGTTCATTGTCAGGAATCATTCACTTATTCTTTTTGGCAGATTGTCAGGTCCAGGATCAGTCATCTATGAATCTTAACCAACTAAGTTTTTCTGATGGTCAACAGAGGATGGCTAATGTTAAACAAAAACATGGTGTGGGGCTGTACGGTGGTGCAGTGGGAGACACGTTCGCCTTGCGGCAAGGTCGCTGGTTCGAGCCTCGGCAGGATCAGTTGGTGTTTCTGTGTGGAGTTTGTATGTTCTCCCTGTGTTGGCGTGGGTTTTCTCCGGGTGCTCCGCTTTCCCCCACAGTCCAAAGACATGTGGTATAGGTGAATTGGGTAGGCTAATTTGTCCATAGTGTTTGTGTGAGAATGAGTGTGTATGGATGTTTCCCGGGGATGGGTTGCAGCTGGAAGGGCATTCACTGCTTAAAACATATGCTGGAAAAGTTGCCCATTTATTCCACTATGGCGACCTTAGATTAATAAAGGGACTTAGCCATAAATAAAATAAATAAATGAATGAATAAATGAATGAATGAATGAATGAATGAATGAATAAATGAATGAATGAATGAATGAATGAATAAATGAATGAATGAATGAATGAATGAATAAATGAATGAATGAATGAATGAATGAATGAATGAATGAATGAATGAATGAATGAATGAATGAATGAATAAACTTGGTGTATCTAGAAGAACAAATAAAGTTGAGCCTATCCTTCACACAGTTGCTCTGTATTATTATTTTTTATATATATTTTTTAACACCAATAGGGTTGACACAATGGCTCAGTAGTAAGCACTTTCGCCACACAGCAAGAAGGTCGTTGGGTCGAGTCCTGGCTGGATCAGTTGGCATTTCTGTATGGAGTTTGCATGTTCTACCTGTGTTCGCGTGGGATTCCTCCGGATGCTCTGGTATCCCCCACAATAGAAAGACGAGCGCTATAGATGAATGAAAAAACTAAATTGTCCGTAGTGTATGTGTGTGAATGAGTGTGTATGAATGTTTTCCAGTACTGGGTTGGAGCTGACAGGGCATCCACTGTGTAAAACATATGCTGCATAAGTTGGTGGTTCATTCCACTGTGGCGACCCCTGATGAATAAAGGGACTAAGCCGAAGGAAAATGAATGAATAAATACCAATAATGACCTTTACATTCAACATGACCTAATGAGATCCACATTCTGACTATTTTTAATACCAATGTGTCCTGAAGAATAAGGTGATGACTAATTAAGGAAACAGGAAATGCGTTCATGCAAAGGAAGGATGCTGGGTAATGTAGTTGATTACAGTTTCCGGAGTAGACAATGTCAAAACATGTAAGACCTTGAAAGGGTAAATAAAAACAACAAATGACTCACTAATGATTTTATCATATTAAGAAAGGAAGTTTTTATTTTATTATATTTTTTTAAATGATACATTACATTTTATTAGCAATAGAGGAACCTTGTAACTGTCATGTGAAACAAAGTCAGACAATATTTTTTGCATTTTATGCATTTGGCAGAGATTTTATAAACAGTAGCTATTATTAACAACTGATAACCCATTAACTGAACCCACGACTATAGCATTGTTTGCTACATGCTACAGGAGCTCTATAGGTTAACATAACTCTATAATACTTTATTTAGACAGTATTTTTTATGAAATTCTAATCATTTATAATTAAAACCTCTAAGGAGCTCTGTATTACTTATGCAGTTTAGTTCGCAAATGTTTACAGATCTGTGCAAACAAACCCAAAAGTCTGTGTGAGGTCTGAACGTGACAGCGCTTGTGTGCCAGACTGCTTTTTGACGCGTGAGAAATTAAAGTGTCAGGATGTGCAATCTCTGTATATATATTTGTATAGAGAGACCCAGATGGGATTATGTTTGTTTCTCAATCGTTCATAACATAAGAATATGTTTTTGTGACTTTTACACTCTCAGATTTATTGTTTTCATAAATCTGTTTTTGGTGTTGACACTCATGGGAGCAACAACAGAAAAAATATTTAGCTCCACACACTCACCCGCAGAGACACACACTCGCTTTACTCACATAATGAGCACAGTCAATTAGATATGAGCTATGCTTTCCTCAAACAGTTTAAACAATGGCACTGTTGCACTTGCAAATCATTGCATGGTTTAAGTGATTGTAAAAAAAAAACAGCAGCGTCAGCTCAAGCAAAGCTATCTGGTTGTCCAACCAATGGAAGACAGACAGGAAAGGTAAAGTCCTTATGAAATTGACTAATGATACTATTTCTTCTTCCATTATGATATTTCTGCACTGCCTTACATTAAAACCCGCAAAGCACAAAATTCGGAAGCATAGCAATACATTTTCCAAACATTCAGCTATCTGGACAATTAGGAAGTCCTTGGGTTGAGCTTAAAACGCAAGGTCTTCACAATACAAAGAGTTTGAAGTAGCTCCAAGGAACCATGCTCTCTACCACAACTGAATCTCTTCTTCATTCACCCACTCACCTATTATACATTCCAGGTTTCTGACCAGCGCCCTCTAGTGCCCTTTTGTCCCATCAGAACAGCATTTTTATTTTCATTATTTCATGGATAAAAAAATAAAATAAAATAAAATACAAGTGCACTGAAAACGCTATTATTTTGAATGACCTAAAATAAATGAGTAAACTCGTTGATCATTGTCATTGAGTAATGGAGTCTCTCAAAACTTGCACATTTAAGTTTATTTAACTTGACGGTTTTGTAGACTATACTTAAATTGTTCAGTTCACCAAGCTTAATACTAAGTTTGGTGAACTGAACAATTTAATTATAGTCTATTTAAGAACTAAGTTTGGTGAACTAAATAAATAAATAAATAAACATGTTGTGATTCATAAATATCCAATTAATCCAATTTAATCCAATTACAACCACAACGACAATGAATAAAAGCATAAATAACACATATTGGTTATTTTACAGTAGCTTTTACTGTTTGTGAGTAATATTTAGTGTTGTCCAGTTCAAAAGTTCTAAATTTGACCCACAATGAAATGATCAAATTGAACAAAAACAGTCATTTTACTTGTTTTAGATAAAACACCACCACCACCAACAACAGTTTATTAATAATAATTTATATATTAATAGTAATATAATAATATTGTCATTGACATGTGGCAAAAGTCATTTTTAGGCTCTGTGTAATTATAAACAGAGACTTGATTTTGTCCTTTGGGAATTTTGAGCAATTGGATCATTGTCATTTGCTAATTGTTGTGATGTCTTATGAGTAACATAGTTAAAAGGTACATGTAATTTAAGAAATAAAAGATGCACACTGATATTTTAAACAACAAGCACAGCAACATCCCATAAAAAAGAAGAATTATCCATTTTCAATCCTTAGTAACATTAACATTATTGTGTTTGTTTCTTTGGAGGCTTAATTAGTCTTAACAAGTAAATGAGCCTGGGTGTGACTGCACTGTGTTTAGTGTGTGTTTAATTTATGAGACTATAAATTTCATCTGTTTTTCCTCTTTATCTCCAGATCCATTGGCCTTCGTTGCCTGGTAATCGTGAAGACTGTATTCTCAAAGGGAAAGATCCCGAGGTGAGTTTCTAAATGACTCTGAATTCACTAAAAACATTGACAAACTCAGATAGTCAGGTCAGCATCTCAGAGTTTCTGAAGTTTTTTTGTAAGCTGGCATGCTTCAGATGTTCATGAATGTATTAAACCCAGTAGAAATCATTAAATGTAGCTTTGTTTTGGAGTCTATGTTTAGTGTGATCCTCAACCGTATGTATTTCATCAGGCCCAATCTAGAGTTCTGAAATGAAAACATCTGACCGTCTTCAGCTATACTCAGAATACGCTGTAGTTGGCGCCGATGACTGGAAAGATGAAGCTAAGCGCCCATAAATGAGATTTGATCCACTCACTTATTGTTGTCTTGCTTCCAGCCTAGTGTGTGTGTGACTCTTGAGTCTCTTAAACCTAATGACCAAAGAAGGCTGTCCCAATACACAGAACACTTAGACTTTCATTTTTAACCTCCTCTTTGTTTTCTATTTTGGATTCTTGTTTCCTTTTATTCTCAATCAGCCTTTCATTTTCCCTTTTCAGCACCATAAGCATGTTAATTATGTTTAGAGTTAAATCTTTTAGGCCCTCTGTCCTCAATGGTGGAAGGTCTTTAACACACAAACAGACACACACTCTTACTCGCGCTCATACACACACTCTGCATCTGGTAATGTTTAGCATGTTTCGCTCGTAAATTGAAAATGTGAGGTGTCTCCATGGTTAAATGCTCTGGTGACTGTCCCGGCTGTATTGTTTGATGTGACAGGTGAGTGCGATTTCACAGCGGCGTTTAATGACTTTGTTCTTTGTGTGAGTATGTGTTGGGGAATTGAACAGGATATTGGTTTTCACTGGTGAAAGGACACACAGGAATGAACTCAGAGAAGTTTGATGTATCTCTGAAATTGTTATTATAGTTAATTAACACAAAAAGCAGACATTTTTTGTTGATTAAAATAATAATAATAATAATAATAATAATAATAATAATAATAATAATTCATTACATTTATATAGCTCTTTTTTAGACACTCAAAACTGTAGCTCCCTCCAGCAACAAACGAGCAAGAGTCTTTGGTTTCTACTGACTGGTTTATTTTCATAGCAAGTCTTCAGTTCTCAACATAGAGCAAACCACAAGACATCAGGGGTGTACCAGACGTAAGAACTAAAAACATACAACAATGAATTACAACAGTGCATTTCCATATCAAATTAATCCAAATCACCACATTAAGGTCACACATAACACTGGATCACATAATCTTAACTAATACAATTTAACTTTATAAATAGCACCACTCATAAACAAACAGTTAAATGCACAAACCAAACAAACAGCAACAACAACACCACACTTCAAATCAAACAAAACCAACAAATCATATAAAACAAACATACCTCATTGGCTGGTTACGGAAGGGAGAAACTCAAGAAAAGCATAAGCATTCCTTAGCTTGTTGAATGCTTGGAAGTGAATGCATTTGTCTCTCTACTCACAGTGGTGCATCATTTTTATAGTTCCCCCTGAAATTAGCTCCGCCTTAATTAGTTCCTAGGTGAACTGGCATAAGATCTTAAACACACATGACATCTGCTACACTCCCACCAAATCACTTGTGATTTTTCCTTTTTTATAAATCACACTTAAACACAATTATGAAAATTAATGCAACCCATGGAGTGATAGTGTGAAATCAAGCAGTCTTCAATCAGCTTCAAGAAGAATGACTACCTTCTGTATTGGACGCTCAAGGTAACTTGGTTTAGACAATCGCTTACCCTTTCCATCAAGCGAAGAGTCACTCATTAACAACTTGACTTGTCTCACTTTGCCATCCTTTCCTTGGTACACGTCTACCACCTTTGCCAATTTCCACTTGTTACGTGGTAAAACATCATCTTTAAGGATAACTATGTCATTCACTTTAACATTCCTGCGATTCTTATTCCATTTCTGTCTTTGCTGAAGATTTAAAAGATACTCCTTTCTCCAGCGCGACCAGAAGTTGTTGACTAAATACTGCACTTTGCGCCATCGTTTACGGAGCTAAAGATCTTCTTTGACAAACTCTCCAGGTGGTGGTTCCACAATCATAGACGTCATTGTCAAGATGTGATTTGGGGTAAGAAGTTCTGGACCTAGAGGGTCATTCAAATGCTCAACAGTCAAAGGCCTGCTATTCACAATAGCCATAACCTCATACAACAGAGTTCGCAGGGAAGTACTGTCAAGTGCCCCAGGACATTGGTCAAGAACAGAAGTCAAAACATTTCTTACGGTACGGATCTGTCTTTCCCAGACACCTCCCATATGACTTGCTGATGGAATGTTCATGATCAACTCGCAGCCAAGTTTCTTTATCTGCCCTTGATCCATTGTTTTCAATGTGCTCATAAATTCTCTGCTTGCCCCCTCAAAGTTTGTACCCTGATCACATCGAATTTGGCGAACTGTTCCACGAATGGCTATAAAGGAGCGGAGAGCATTAATAAATGCATCAGTAGACAGAGCATCAAGCATTTCAATGTGTATGGCTCTGGAACACATACAAGTCAACAATAACCCATAGCGTTTGAGTTGCCTTCTACCATCGGTAACATAAAAAGGTCCAAAACAATCCATTCCACACAATAGAAAAGGTGGAGTTGGCTGCACACGATCTTCAGGAAGATCAGCCATTTTCTGTTCTTCTACACACCTTCTAAATTTCCTACATTTCAGGCATTTGTATATGTGAGAAGAAACAGCACTACTGCATCCAAGAATCCATATACCATTGGACCGAAGTTCATTCACGGTCATTCCTCGCCCTTGATGTTGTACTCGTTCGTGATAATGTTTGATTAGTAATGCTGAGAAATGATTTTTCTTTGAAAGAATGGCAGGATATTTTACGTCTAAATGAAGAGTTGCATTTGCCAAGCGACCTCCAACTCGCAGTATGCCTTGATTATCCAGGAAAGGACTTAACTTGTACAATTGGCTTTTGGTTTGAGCATCAGATGTAAATGCTAGTTGTTTCTTGAGACTCGTCATTTCATGGGAAAAGGTTGCTTCTTGAACTAACCGAATGATAAAGAGCTCAGCATCTTTCCTTTGCTCCAAAGTAGTAGGTTCAAAAGCTTTGGATTCAAAACCTTTAGCTTCTCTTACATACCGTTTAAGTCTGGCAATGGCCTTCACCATCCTTGCCCAGTCCGAGAATTTGAGAAGACGTTCTAACAATGATTTTTCTTTATTTGCTTGGATATTGAAAACTTGAACCTTTCGAAGCTCTGGATCATTACTTGTGATCACATCTCCCACCTTAACTTCTTCACTGGGAAGATCTTTCTGCCACAAGAATTTTGGTCCCTTGAGCCAACTCGACGCCACTAGTTGTTCAACCATCAAACCTCTAGAAGCAGAATCTGCAGGATTGTCTTCAGTGCCTACATATTTCCATTGATTCGATTCAGTACTCAACTTGATACGTTGAACACGATTAGCTACAAAAACTTGGAATCTCCTAGCATCATTGTTGATGTATCCCAGAACTACCTTAGAATCAATCCAGAAACATTCCTGTAAATCCTTAATGTCCAATTCTTTCTTCAGCATATCACTGACCCGTACAGCGACCACTGCAGCTGAAAGTTCTAATCTCGGAATAGTAGTTATTTTTGTTGGTGCAACTCGTGACTTTCCCATGACGAAAGAGCAATGAACCTCACCTGATGCACTGACTGTTCGAAGATAGGAGCATTCCCCATATCCTGAGATGCTAGCATCAGAGAAATGATGGAGTTCAAAACGAATGGCTTCGTTACTTATCTGTGGAACATAACATCGTGGGATCTTCACATCAGCTAAATTTGGCAGATCTAAAAGCCAACGTTCCCATCGAGATTGCAAGTCTTCAGGCAATGAATCGTCCCAACTAGCCTTGTTGTAGCACAGCTGTTGTAGGATCTTCTTGCCCACCAAAATGAATGGTGCCATAAATCCAAGTGGATCAAACACAGATGCTATCGTTGACAACACTCCTCTGCGAGTAAATGGATGTTCCTTTACAATGACTCTAAACTGGAATTCATCAGATGCAATTGACCATTGAACACCAAGTGCTCTCTCCACATACATCTCACCCAGATCCAGATCCAAATCCTTTACTCCTTTAGCAAGATCCTCTTGAGGAATTGAAGCGATAACATTCTTACTGTTGGAAATGAACTTGTGAAGTCGAAGTTTCCCAGTGCTACAGAGTTTCTTAGCTTCAGTCACAAGGGCAATTGCTTCAGCTTCAGTTGGAACACTTACTAATCCATCATCAACGTAAAAGTTCCTTTGGATGAACCTAATAACATCTTCAGTGAACATTCCTTTTCCTTCAGCAGCAAGATGTTTAAGACCATAATTTGCACAACCTGGGGAAGAAGCTGCACCAAATAAATGAACTTTCATTTTATACACTGAGGGTTGAGCTTCCAAATTGCCGTTGTCCCACCATAAGAATCAAAGATAATCTCGGTCCTCTGCTTTGACATGAAACTGATGAAACATGCGTTCTATGTCACACATAATGGCAACTGGATTTTTCCTGAAACGACACAAGACACCCACTAGAGTATTTGTCAGCTCTGGGCCTGTCAAAAGATGGTCATTTAAAGAAGTTCCTTGAAACCTTGCAGAACAATCAAAAACAACTCTAATTTTTCCAGGCTTTTTTGGATGATACACTCCATGATGAGGAATGTACCATGCTGAACATTTCTCAGCTTCTTCAGGTGGAACCTTCTCAGCATCTCCACAGGCAATGATTTCATTCATGAAAGCAGTATAATCACTGTAATACTGCATATCCTTCTTAAATCTTCTTGCCAAACATTTGAGACGATATACTGCACAGACTTTATTGTTTGGCAAGTTAGGCCTGTCACCTTTAAATGGTAGTGGCATCTCATAATGTCCAGCCTTATTTAATGATATACCTGCTTTCATTTTCCCTAGGAATCGAAGATCCTCTTGAGACATACAGCAA